AGAACTGGCGGTCAGTTTCAGCAGCGGCTGAATCTGGACGCCAGTTCCAACTTACATACAGATTCAACTTAAGAACAAACCTACAGTCCCTATCTTGTACGTAACCTGGGGACTGCCTGTATTTTGTAAACCCTTGCAAAACAATTGACCAAAAATGCCATTGAAGAAAAGGGAACATAGTTTGGATGGATTGGATTTACAGAACTGGCGGTCAGTTTCAGCAGCGGCTGAATCTGGACGCCAGTTCCAACTTACATACAGATTCAACTTAAGAACAAACCTACAGTCCCTATCTTGTACGTAACCTGGGGACTGCCTGTATTTTGTAAACCCTTGCAAAACAATTGACCAAAAATGCCATTGAAGAAAAGGGAACATAGTTTGGATGGATTGGATTTACCCTTATTCACCATTAGGTTGAGTTGAAGTAATTGTCAAGATTCAGGCCCAAAGGCATAAATGTAGGGGGGGAGACCACCAAGGCTCATATGAAAGCACAAAATAGTTAGCATTATTTAAAGAGCACCTTATGCACCAAAACACAGACCCAAATTCAGCCCACCTGAAGGTTTGAGGAGTTGCACCTGCTTATACCAAGGTTGAATTTGATTCAGTGTTAATTTCACTAATAGATTAATAATATATTTGCTAAATAACTTATTTACAAAACAAAACATCTTAAACCCTCTCCATAATACCATTGTTAGTGTTTTCTAGTTTGAGGCATTATTAGAGAAATAACTAATTAAGAAATACACATTTTACAAAGTTGCATGCAGAGTATAAGGAAAAACATTGTAAAGTGAGCAGTCGATTTTCATTCTGCACCCTGCATGAAGTGTCCCACCCCTGAAAAAAGTGAGATTTAAAAAAAAAATTACTTTTTGATAATCAAAGGTGTTACTGATTTCACGGCAGACGAATTTTTTTAAATGTTGACAATGTTCCACTAAAGAAAGTAATAGTTCTAGCCTAAGACAAAAGCATGGAACATGTTGCATGACACTTCCGCCCCTTCCTTAGTTCACCAGTATTATTTGTCAGATTCTGTCCTTTTCTGGCAATCAGAATTGAATTCATGTTGAGATTTATCCTTAGGGTTCAGTTATGTCCTCCATGAGTCAGCAATTATGATCAAGTTTGTTCCATGAGGAGAATGTGGGTTTTGCCCTCCTCTCCCCTGTATTTACATGCATCCAAGGGACAACGGGGGGTCAGGGACAAATGCACAGTGGCCTCCTAACTCTCTACTGTCTCTGGGTGTGCCACTTCACCCTGGAAGCATTGCTCCAAATGTCATGGGCAGCTATCAAATCAAAATGCATGTAGTCCACCCTTACACAAAGCAGTATTTAATTAATCAAAAAAAATTTAGCATCTTTAATGCCCCAGTCTAGGAAGGCATTTAAACACATGTCTAATTGTAAGTATGTGAGTAGTCCCATTTACTTCATGGGACTTCTCATATGGTAAGTATCTCAGAGTCCTTATTTTGTATAAATTGCCATGTCTGACACCCTACAGAAATGGTTATCTGAGACCATGTTTTACAGCCTTTTGTGAAATATGTTTTCTAAATTAAAAAAATTAAGACCCAGGGCTGTGTCTACACTGGCATGAATTTCCGGAACTGCTTAAAACGGAATACTATTTTGTTTTCAGTTTTTCCGGAAAAGGAGCGTCTACATTGGCAGGCTGCTTTTCCGGAAAAGCCCTTTTTCTGGAAAAGCGTCTGTGGCCAATGTAGATGCGCTTTTCCGGAAAAGAGCCCCGATCGCCATTTTCGCGATCGGAGCTTTTTTCCGGAAAAGACTACTGGGCTGTCTACACTGGCCCTTTTCCGGAACAGTGTTCCGGAATAAGGACTTATGCCCGAGTGGGAGCAGAATAGTTTTTCCGGAATAGCGGCTGATTTTGTACAGTAGAGCATCGTTGCTTTTCCAGAAATTCAAGGGCCAGTGTAGACAGCTTGCAGCTTATTCCGGAAAAGCGGCTGATTTTCCGGAATAAGTGGCCCAGTGTAGACACAGCCCAGGAGTACAGATTTTGCTTTCAGTTCCCTCCCTCTCAGTCCAGAGAAACATGGTTGGCTTCAGTGGAGTTAATGCAGATTTACACCATTGTTAGTGGGATCAGAATCTTGCCCAGTGAGTTTGACATCTGAGTCATCGTTTCCATGAGAACAAGCAAGTAACAAATTGGATATGTCATGTTTGGCATGTGTAAATGCACTGAAGTCAGTGGGGCTGCATCAGAGTATAACTGACAGCAGAATTTAGCACAAAGCATGCATAGGTTCATTCATATCTCTTCTCCATCTGACCCCTCTCCCAATTAATGCTGAAAAAATTATGAATATGTTTATTTCAAACTGTCAGTTTATTTCTATTCTATTATATAATTAATTTCAGTTTACTGTGAGCGTAGTCATTAAGTGTTATATATGTGATAAATGTGTTCAAAATATGCACTCCCTGTTTAAAACCTTTCTGCAGAGAAGAACAGATATTCTTAGCATTTATTCTACCTCTCTCACTGGCATAAATCAGAGGTAACTCCATTGCAATCAGTGGAGTCAGTGGAGTTACATTGATGCAAAAGGAGAATCGGACTCTGAATGCTATATTTTTTAAAAAGCTTTGATTGTTTCAAATCAGAGGTGCTATTCTGACTGTAAATTTACAGAAGTAGATTAGAGGACAGTCAAAAATAGCTGCAGTCAGTGTTGGCTAATGTTAACCCCATTTTTGT